ACTGGAGTCCTCTGCTTTCAATGGCAGCCCACACACCATCAAGATCATCTAATCTGCTCTAAAATATCTCCTATGATGGAGATTCCACATCCTCTCTAGGCAATTTATTCCAGTGTTTCACCACCCTGACATTTAGGAAGTTTTCCCTAATGTCCAACCTAACCCTCCCTTGCTGCAATTTAAGCCCCTTACTTCTTGTTCTATCCTCAGAGGTCAAGAACAACAATTTTTTCACCTCCTCCTTGCAAAATATTTTTAGGTACTTGAAAACTGTACTCATATCCCCCTCGGTCTTCACTTTTCCAAATTAAAAAAAAAAAAAAGTCTTTTAGTCTTCCCTCCCAGGTCATGTTTTCTAGACCGTAAATCATTTTTGTTGCTCTTCTCTGGACCCTCTCCAATTTCTCCTCATCTTTCCGAAGTGTGGTGCCCAGAACTGGACACAATACTCCAACAGAGGCCTAATCAGCGCAGAGCAGAGTGGAAGAATGACTTCTGGTGTCTTGCCACAACACTCCTGTTAATGCATCCTTGAATCATGTTTGCTGTTTCTGCAACAGTGTCACACTGTTGTCTCATATGTAATTGTGGTTCACTATGACCCTTAGATGCCTTTCTGCAGTACTCCTTCCTAGACAGTCGCTTCCCATTCTGTATGTGTGAAATGGATTGTTCCTTCCTAAATGGAGCACTTTGCATTTGTTATTTTTATACTTCATCCTATTTACCTCAGACCATTTTTCTAGTTTGTCCAATTCACTTTGAATTATGACTCTATCCTCCAAAGCACTTGCAACCCCTCCTCGCCTGGTATCATCTGTAAACTTAATAAGAGTATTCTCTATGCCACTGTCTAAACTGTCAATGAAGACATTGAACAGAACCTGTCCCCAAACTGACCTCTGTAGAACCCCACTTGTTACACCCTTCCAGCACGACTGTGAACCATTAATAACTATTCTCTGAGAATGATTATTCAGTTATGTACCCACCTTATAGTAACCTCATCTAGATTATATTTGCCTAGTTTATTGATAAAACGGTCATGCGAGACTGTATCAAATGCTTTACTAAACCTAGGTATATCGCATCCCCCGCTTCTTTCTTATTCAGAAGACTTGTGATCCCATCAAAGCAAGCTGTCAGATTATTTGTTCTTTACTAATCTATTCTGGCTGTTACCTATCACCTTATTCTCTTCCAGATGTTTGCAGATGAATGCCTTAATTACTTGCTCCATTATTTTTCCTGGCACAGAAGTTAAACTGACTGGAATGCAATTTATTGGACTGTTCTAATGTCCCTTTTTATAGATGAGCACTAGATTTTCCCTTTTTCCAGTCTTTTGGAATCTCTCCCAACTTCCTTTTCAAAGATGATCGCTAATGGCTCAGATACTTCCTTTGTACAATGTTTTCTTGTTCCCCTCTATGTCTCTAGCTAGACTGAGCTCATATTGTGCCTTCCCCTTTCTAAAGTTGATCCTACAAACCTGTGTTGTTTGCTTACATTCATCCTTTGTATTTTAACCTCCTTTCCACTTGTTATATGACTCCTTTTTATTTTTAGATCATGTTAGATCTCCTAGTTAAGCCAGGGTGGTCTCCTGTCTTCCTATCTCTACTACACAATGGAATAGTTTACTTTTGTGTCCTTAATAATGTCCCTTGGAAAAAACTGAGAAATGTCTTCAACTGTTTTTCTTCTTAGGTTTGCTTCCCATGGGACCTTACCTACCAGCTCTCTGAGTTTACTAAAGTCTGCCTTCCTAAAATCCATTGTTGTCACTTTCCTGTTGTCCCTTTCGTAAAATGGAGAGTGATCAGTTTCTGCATGTATCCCATAGTCTAAGCACTTACTGGGTTTCTCTCCTGTGTGGATAGCCTGATGCTGAGAAGGGCTGATCTGTTTCTGAAAACTTTCCCACAGCCCAACGACTCCATATAGAACTTTTCCCACAATCCAAGCATATGTGGGATTTCCCTTCTGTATGGATTCCTCATGTTTACGATAACTCGATCTCCGTATCAAACTTTCCTCACACCCCGATCACTCATGGGGTCTCTCTGAAGAGTTATAACATTTCATCTTCCCGTGAAACGCTTCCCACATTCCAAAAACCAATGGGGTCTCCTTCCTCTGTGGAGTGCTTGATGTTTATGAAGCTCTGACTTCCACATGATACTTGTTGCACAGATTAAGTACTGATGAGGACTCTCCAGTGTGGATGGTGAGATGACCAAGAAAGGTTGAGCGCTACATGAAAGTTTTCCAGTTGGACTCTTATGTGATCTTTCTTTTGTGAGGATTTTCTGATATGAATCCAGAGCTAACATCCATATGACATTTTTTCCCACTGTCGAAGCACTTATGAGGCATCTCTCCTGTGCGCATTGCCTGTAGTTTAAGAACGTCAGTTCTCCATATGAAAGATTTTCCACAGCTTAACCCTTATCGTTTTTGTCTCCTGTGTGGATGAACTGATGGTTAAGGAGGTCTGACCGCCGTATGAAACTTTTCCCACACTCTAAGCAATGATGGGGTCTCTCACCAGTGTGGATTTTCTGATGTACAACAAGGTCTGACTTCCTCATGAAACTTTTCCCACAGTCTAAGCACTTATGAGGTCTTTCTCCTGTGTGGATTTTCTGATGTGTAAAAAGGGCGGATTTCACTATGAAACTTTTCCCACACTCTAAGCACTTGTGGGGTCTTTCTCCAGAGTGCATTGCTAGATGCTGTTTGAAGTTTGAGCTATATATGAATACCTTTCCACAGTCTAAGCACTTGAGGGTTCCCTCTCCTGTGTGGATTCCCTGATGTTGAATAAGCGCGGTCTTTCTTATGAAACTTTTCCCACAGTCTAAGCACTTGTGGGATCCCTCTCCTGTGTGGATTCCCTGATGTTGAATAAGCGCGGTCTTTCTTATGAAACTTTTCCCACAGTCTAAGCACTTGTGGGATCCCTCTCCTGTGTGGATTCCCTGATGTTGAATAAGCGCGGTCTTTCTTATGAAACTTTTCCCACAGTATAAGCATTGATGGGGTCTCTCTCCTGTGTGGATTTTCTGGTGTAAAACAAGGGATGACCTCTGTAGGAAACTTTTCCCACAGTCTAAGCACTTGTGGGGTCTTTCTCCTGTGTGGACTGCCAGATGTTGATTGAGGTGAGACCTCTGTATGAATGTTTTTCCACAATCTAAGCACTGATGGGGTCTCTCTCCTGTATGACGTGCCTGATGTTTAACAAGGCCGATCCTCCGTATGAAACTCTTTCCACATTCCAAGCACTTATATGGTCTCTCTCCTGTGTGGATTGCTTGATGGTTAACAAGGTCCGATCTCCATTTGAAAGCCTTTTCACACTCCAAGCACTTATGGGGTCTGTCTCCCGTGTGGACGGCCTGATGTTTAAGAAGGTGTCTCCTATGTATGAAACTTCTTCCACACTCCAAGCACTTATGTGGTCTCTCTCCTGTGTGGATTACCTGATGTGAAACAAGAGATGTCTTCCAAATGAAACCTTTTCCACAGTCTAAGCACTTATAGGGCGCTGATTTCCATTTGACACTTTTCCCACAGTCTAAACATTTATATGGGCTCTCTCCAGTGTGCAATTTCTGATGCGAAACAAGGGCTGATTTCCATTTGAAACTTTTCCCACATTCCAAGCATTTATGGGGTTTCTCGCCTCTGTGGATGGCCTGATGGTTAATGAGATCGGACCTCTGAATGTAACTTTTCTCACAGTCTAAGCACTTGTGTGGTCTGTCCCCTGTATGGATTTTCATATGTAAAACAAGGGATGACCTCCATTTTAAACTTTTCCCACAGATTAAGCATTGATGGGGGCTCTCTCCTGTGTGCATTTTGTGATGTGAAACAAGGGCAGATTTCCGTTTGAAAATTTTCCCACAGTCTGAGCATTTATAGGGTCTCTTTCCAGTGCGCACTGCTTGAGGTTTAACAAGGACTGATCTCTGCCGGAAAGTTTTTCCACAATCGGATCTCTTATGGGGACTCTCTCCTAGGTTGATGTTTCATCAGGGCTGATATTCGTTTGAAACATTTCCCGCACTCTACACACTTATTGGGTCTTTCTCCTGTGTGGGTTGTCTCAGGGGTCCTCAGGGCTGACTTCCAATTCAGAGAGTTCCCTCCCTCGGGACACCGAGAGCCTCTCTCTCCCATTTGGCTTCCCCTGTCAGTATTAAGATCTGAGCTGTTATTTACGCTTTCCCCATGGTCCAAGCACTGAAGGGGTTTCTCTCCAGCACCTACTGTCTGCACTGTAATAAGCTCTGGGCTCACAAGAAATCCCTTCCCATAAGCGAGCCATTCCTGGTGTTTCTCTTCCTTGAGTTTTGGCTTCTGGGCTGCGGGATCCTTCTGTCCTTCCCCACATTTAATAGATTCATTCATTTGCTCACTTGGGTGTTTTCTCAGCAGCCTCTCCGGCCTGAGCCAGTTTTCCCAGGCTCCTCCCTGTTCCAAGCACTGGGAAACATTCCCTTCAGCTCTTCCCACAAAGGTCGCCTGCAGTTCCATCTCCTCAGGAACTTCCTGCTGTTGATTCCCCTCTTCATTCTCACTCGCTGTCCTGTCACCTGCTGGGAGACAGACAATCCAGGCAGGAATCATTGAGCTAGGAAGAAAGAGGAGAAGCACCAAGGGAAAACCCAACACACTGAAATTGCACAGACCAAGCCACTGGATTGTCCCTCCGCTTCCCACAGAACCACTCACAGAGAAGAAAACTCCTGCAGCTAACAGGACTGGTGGGAAACTGTGAGCAATGTCAGCTGACTACACCCTGCCCTGTGTGAGAGGAGGAAGTACCAAGGGTAATTACTGATACCTCATTTTGGGGACTCTTTTTCCTTCATTCAACAGCTGGTTTCTGTGTCAGTCCTCACCTGTGCGGGTGCCTTTTGGGATCTCTCTTTCCTCCCCGGCATGGAGGTCGGGCACCCAGGGCTCTTCCCCTTGTTCCAGCCGGGCGATCAGCTCAGGTTTGGGAACGGGAAACCCTGCGCAGGGGGTGAAATCAGAGCAGATCAGGGCGCAGGGAGGGTGGGGAGAGCGTCTGTCCCAAGGGACATTCCGTGAGTGGAACCTGTCCCCGGGTTCTGCTGGGGAATGTGCAACCCAAGAGGATGGGAACATGGTCACTGAGCCCCCTGGGGAGAGGCAGACGTGTGGGGAGGGGAGAGGAATTGTGACGCCCTCACTAGGAGTTCCCAGGATCTGGGCAGTCCGGGGCCCTTGCTGACACTCACAGCTCTGCAGTTACACCCCTGCCTGTTTCTAAACCTGCAGAGCCCCGACCCCTCCCCATGGCTGGAGCGCGTCGCAAGGAGGGAGGGGAACATGGATTCTGGGTGCGAGTGAGGAACAACACAGACAGGAGGATACTTGGCCCCTCCGCCTTGAAATCTAGAGGGGTCGGGTGGGGATGATTTAGCACGTCCATTAGGGTTTGACACCCTGGTCTCACTGC